ACACAGCAAGGCCACCTTAACAGCTGAACTGCTCCCCCATAGATGTCTGCACACAAAATGCATACAGCTTTGTGGGCTGCATCCAGGCCACAGCTGGGTTCTTTAGTTTGTTGTGAAAAGAATTCCAGCATGACACAGCTCCTCTCAGTACAAAGAAATGCTGAAGCACTAGGGGGAAGAAAAAGAAAAAAGAATGCCTCTGAAAGCAAGGCTGCACAGAGAGAGAGGTAGGGTTGGGCCACCCTCCTCCTCCCAGAGCTCAGAGCTCTAGTCTGGTCCTCTCTGCTATAAACACACCGGATGGGCATCGCCAGGCCCAGAACGCAGGTCTGGGCCACAGGGGCGCCTTGAACGCCTCCCGGGCATCTGGAGCAAACAATGCCGCTCACTCTGTGGTCAGATCGGGGACAGCCAGTCCTCCAGTTGTTTGATTTCTAAACTTGCCTCCACCTCCCCGAGGCCTTTGAGAGCTCAGGGCTTGCAAATCAGCACAACATTTAATTAACTGCACATTAAAGTTTCCATCTTTCAAAGAGGGGAATTAGGGACAGTGCACTTTCTGAAGCATTCATTAATGAAAAAATAAACTGTAAAGCCTCCTGAGTCCAGGGTGGTCCTCACCGTGCTAGGTGGTTACTCGCCCTAACTCCAGGGCCTGGGCAGTTCCTCCACATAAGCTCCCATGTTCAGCGGCTCCTTCCAGGCAAGCACTGTTAGCACCCTAAGATCCAGGCTGGGTCTCACCACATCCCAGAGCACTCTGGGTTGTCCTCCAGAGTTCTCAGGAAATACTCAAAATGTTTCCAATTATACTGAATTGTGAGGAATGAATAATACAATTAAATACTGTCTATGCCACCTATGGGATGAGTATAAGCTACTGTCACCCCTGAGGATGACAGCAACATAAGGAAGGACATAGCACAGTCCCTTTGGCTGTAGGGAGCAACAGTTGGGAATAGACACAAAATGAGACAGACCAGGAGATAAAGAGTGTAGCTCACCAAATGTCATGCATGTTTTTCATGACACCAAAATTACCTGCTGATTCAGGCTGAGGCTACACACACACACACACACACACACACACACACATCTTGACTAGAGGTCAAAAAAGTCACAGTGAGTGGGAAGAGAATTGTTCAGAAGTTGATGGATGCTGGTTCTGTTTCTACCACAAACCCACTATTAGCAACCCACTCTGCTTTCCTGCTCAGCCTTGTCCAAAACTGAGGAACAATGGAACCTACTTACACAATTGCCGAGATCACCTGCTGCCTTTTCTATTAGATCAATTGTTGTCACTCTAAAAAGGAATTGTCTTGCAATGTCTTGTTTTGTTAATTGTGTATATGTCTCCTCCCAATATTATGAAGTCTTTAAGAAAAAGGAGATCTCATTTAATTTTGCACCGTGCATCTGCATATTTATGTCATCATGCTCATTTGTCATCTCTATGATGGTGCCAGGCACTGTGCTAGCCTCAGGATATAGACACAGGCCCTGACCTTCAGGAGGGCGCAAACAAACAATCAAACAGGTAAATGAACTAATTATAAATTATAATTAGTGTTAGGCAGGGAAAATAACAAGGCCTAAGATAAGAAATGATGGTGAAGAAGAGACCAACTTCAAATTGGATCGTTAAGGACAGCTTCTGTGGCAGGAACATTCATTCAAGGTGAGCCGTAGATGGAAGAAAAGGAACCAGCTATGCAACACGCAGGCAGAAAAGCATTCCTGGTAGAGGTTTATTGCAGACACACAATCAAGGCATCCTGATTTGCTCATAAAGAATTTATAAAGTAGATCAAATAAATTCAAATTAGTAAGAAAACCTAGTCAAAACTTACTGGTGTGTAAACAAAGCAACCAGCAAGTGAATTCTTCACCTTCTAGGGGATGGTGGAGCCTGGTGCAGACAATGGGCTCCTTTTCCCTCACGGGCTCACCTAAGACAGTGAAACACACTCCAGGCTCAGCGCCTTCTTCCCCTCAGCCGTTTCTTTTACACCTCATTCCAGGTCCATGGTCAGGGCCTAGCACAAGAACTAAAACACTAGAGAATTCTATGTTTCCCTCCATGGTGCCTTTAAATTCATCATTTCTCTCTGGTCTTTGGGTGTTCTCACCTTTGTGGCATCATGGTGGAGAGAGCCTCTCAATTTCTTACATTTTTATTGCCTTGCAGTCATCCATGATACCATCCCATATCAGAAGGCTGCACAGCACAGCAGATGAAATCGCCAGACCCATAGCTTGTGCAGCTGGCTCTGCATCATTTAAATGTGCATTATATCTTGTGATGGGAGAAGAAACTGAACAACAGCAGACAACTCAGCCACTTGGCTCTCACGTGCCCATCACCAAGCCATGGTCCCTGCTCTTCTCTGCTTTGTGGCCATGGGACTGGACTTGGCCAGCCACACTGCCTTGCTCCCTTTAGGACAAAGCCTAAAGGGAACTTTAGGTGGAGGAACTTTAGGAACCTAAAGGTGGAGACCAAGAGCTAGGAAATATCCAGTTTCCAAATATCCAATGAGGAAGATTTTTCCTGGCCAGACCCTGATGATAAAATCCTTTAGGAGATAAAGGCTTCTCTTATTACCTAACCAATAATCACTGCCCATGTGCTCAGGAACCTGTAAAGTCTGCCTAGAGGTAAGAGGAGCTAGAGGCGGAAAGGCTGAAACATCTGCCTCTGTTACCTGATGTGGACAAGCAACATCTGGCTGCAAGATGTACCCACCCACCCCTCAAAATCATCTGATGCTGTTGCTCTCCTTCCTTCCTTCTTCCCTCCCTTCCGTCCTTCACCTTTTTTTTTTTTTTTGGCCCAGCCCTGTGTTACATTGTCAGGGCCAAACACAGGATGATAAACCCAGTCTTGACTCTCAAAATCCCAATCTAGTGGGGAATCCATGAGCAGATGATGCCATGAAAAGGAGAGAGGGACTATCACTGTGATCATAATTAAGGTGGGCAATGGGTCTGAAGGGAACGCAGCTGATGGCCTCCATTACCCGGCCCAGGGGGAACCTATGGAAGGCTTCTCAGAGGAGCATAAACAAGGGTCAACTTTTTAGCTGGTCAAGAAGTTATGACTTACACTTAGTAAACAGCAGGAAAATTCAAGAGGTGCTACATCAAGAAGCACATTACTGAATATTGTCCTTTTTGCTGGTTTCCACGCAGGTCCGGGGATTGGTGAAATGGATTCTGATGGCGGCACTAAAATCACGGAAGGCCGTCGCCCTCCACCCAGAGAGTCTAATCCAGTAGGTTTGTGTTATGGCTCCAGAATCCATTTGTTTGTTTTACTTCTCTAATGGGGTATGTAGTTGGTGCCCAATTATTTCATTCTCATAACATTTCTTTGAGAGTCAGGGAACTACTCCGCCCCATTAAAACCATTAGCAGGGATTGGCCAGTCTGGTGAGGATGGAGCCTCTAGGTCGTTCAGACCCAGGAATAGTACAATTGAACCCCAACTGGTTGGCCAAATGCTTTCTGCTGCAAAATTTTGATGGTTGGTGCTTCTTTCCTCTGGGCCAAGATTTAATTTGTGTTGCAATGGAACACTTTCAATTGTCAACAACAAAAGGTGATATTTCCACTATTCCTTGAGAATAGGCTTCAAAGGTTTCGGCTCTTTTCTAAAAAGCTTTTCAGCTTTATTTTGACGTGGCAGAAAAGTTTTGCATGCATCTTCGCATCCACTGTTGTGACAGCTGCATTTAATGAGTGCAAAATGATCAGAAAAACATCCTTTACTGTGGGTTGCCTGTTGGTGACAGGGGAGAGGTGATGCTGAAATCAGAGCAGTGAAGTCATGCACACATCTGCTGAGGCGGAATTCCTGCCCGTCTGGTCTGTATCAGGCAGCTCAATGCACGGCTCCGAAGCCACGTAAGACCTGCAGACCCGTGTCCCTTGGACCCTTCTTCAAGCAGCAAGGTGAAGATTCAACTGGGCTGCACCAGCTTGTTGTTATTGCAGGTTCATCCACAGAGCTTTATAAATCTTCCATGTATCTGTCTTACTGAGAGATCTTTCTGGCTAATCTAACATACTTATAATTAACAAACTCATGAGGGACAAAGGCAAACTTTAAATAATTCATGTGTAAAGGCCCAAATCAGAAAATGTTAAATTATTTCTCAGTAAAATTATTTTTCACTCCCCTCCCCACCCAACACAAACACACACACCCCTTCATGGGAAGAATTTACTTTCTCATTTCACTGATGTTCACCTTGACTTTGGGGCTTCCAATGAAAGGTGGGTAGACACACCCATATGCCAATTTGGAGCCTAGGCTTTACGGCATTGCATATTTATACCCACTCTTCTGAGAGCTTCCACTTTTGCCTTGTAAAAATCATGCGTCAGATAGTTCTATGCCCTCAGATGAGCCTTGCAGGATGAGAGACAGGTGCAATGAACCTGAGCTCAACCTGCAGCAGAGTAACAAAGCAGAGTCATCCCAACTGGTCCACCTGCTGCACACACCTGGAGAAGAGTTGCTTAGTTGAACCCAGCCTAGATCAGCCAAGCCATAGCTGACCTGCAGCCTAGGGAGCATGAGCATAAGCTACCATTCATTTAAGTCATTGAGATTTGGAGCTTTTTGTTATTTTGCATAATTGTGTTGTTTTATAAGCTTTTGAGAGAGATTGCCAACAATGTATGCCTGATTGTGTGACAGAAAAAATATTCCAGCTGTGCTAGATGCCTAGCGCTCCACTGGCATGGGGTAAGGGAAAGCAGAGGAAGCAAAGACTCAAATCAGTCAATCCCATCCACTCAAGGCAAGACAAATGAAACCCCCTTGCTTAACTGCATTTTTCACCTGTTGGTTGCATGTTGGGGCCACGGAGTTGCACTTAGTGTTAATGGAAGTGCTATTTCAGTGCTTTCAAAGCAGTTCCTTGGCCCCCAACATTCTTTATTGGTTGTTACCTTCTCACACCTTCCAAGGGAAAACTAAAAGTACCTACCTGTGTCTGTCTCTTTTTCTGGAGTGTCTGTTTCATTTCCATAAGGCTCCATTTCCAATCTCCTCTTTCCTCAATCATGGAAAAGACAGCAAAAATAAACCATCACAGTGAACCATTAGGACAATTTACTCTTGAGGGGAGAATCCTATGGGTGTCTGAAAGCTTACTCTAAGTTATATTTGCTTAATTTATGCTTCTACTGATGAATAATTAGGGAAGCAATTAATTTTAAAATGCAAATACGCAATGGGTCTCACTGTTTTGTTTTGTTTTAAATATCCTTTGTCCTCAATTCTACTTGTATTAGTCTTAATGGCTTTAGTTTAGCAAAGAAATGAAATAATTTTTTCTAATGCTTTATTTACTTGATTGAATTGGACTTTTTTACCAAATATTGACTACAAATGTTTGTTCAAGATTGTATGCCATAGAATTTAATAGAAATAAAAACCTGTGGTACAGAACCATCATTTTTTACATGTCTTGTGGGTGAATGATGAATCAATTAACAGGCAGATGTTTCTAGCAATGTGCCTTTTCTATATAAACTGCTTGTTGTTTCCTAGTCAGATGGAAGATTCCTTATTATCTCTGAAAATGTCACAAAGATATTCTTTCAGAAGAGAAAACTTTCCAACTGTAAAGTAAAATGAACTTTTATTTCTTTTACATCCTCCAGTGCTAGAAAGACGGGGGACATAGTTAAAAGTCCACTAAATGCTCCTTTCGTTTGCTCATTCATTCAACATCTACTGACACCTGATGTACAAATGTCCCGCCCTCGGCTAGGTTCACCAGTACTTGCTCTCAAAGGTCACAGTGTGCTGGGGGCGTCAGGCGAGAAAAACCTCTCAATATTTGTGTCATTGCATTACCTAGCATCATTTCATATGTGTGTTTATTGTCTTTCTCCTCAACTAGAATATGAGCCCCGTGAGGGCAGGAACTGTCTGTAATTCTCACCACCCAAGCAGGAACTACAGCACTCAGTAAATGTCTGTGGCTGATGAAAGGAGAAAAGTGACATTTTAAAGATGGGAATAGGATGAAATTGGAGCCCAAAGGAGAGAGGCCTTTCTCAGCGTGGGATGTGGTGGAAGGTGGATTGATCAGAAAGGCATCAAGGAGGAGGTGAGGATAGAAGTAGGGAGTTCTCGTAGGGGGTTCCTGTCAGGACAGCGCCCAAAGAACAAAGTCAGGAACACACAGCAGATGGAGAGTCCTGGAGGAGGAAACCATCCCGACAGGTTTGGGAATACCAAGGAGGTTCACTGAACCATGGGGTCCCTTGGGGAATGGCGGGAGCTGGAACTGCCCAAAGCAGAAGTCATCTTATACCCAGATGAGGAAACTTCATCTTTCTCTGTCTTCAGTGCTGACTACTGATTGACTGAAACATTTAGAAGCCAAATTACTAACTAGTGTGGGCACTGAAGATGCTCTTGGCAGAAAGCTGAAACCCTCTTTTACAACAAGTCTGCAATGCTTTTCCACTGATATGTGACTTGACTTGAGGGTACAACAAAGACTTTACCAACTAACACAGAAACAGTCGTTGGTCACTAACCACACAAGTCAGATGTGGCTAGATTTCTCTTCCATTATCTCAATATTTAAAGGGAAATCAACATTTTGGCCTGAATTAGCTGAATAATCCCACAACACTCCATTGGCTTTTAGTAGACATTCAAGGTAAATAAAAAATAATAATAATAACTGTCTTTAAAACTAAACATTATTCATAGTAAATGTCTATTTTAAAGCAACATCGAAATTATTTGCCTCGGTTTTCACCCATGTCAGAAAATACTTCATACACCAAAAACTAATGAAAGACGATCCCACAAGCTGGTTTTCTGGATTGCGTCCTTTTGTTTCATGGACTTTCCTGTTTTATTTAAAAAAAAATCTGCATGTATGCAGACACAATCACTTGCCTTCTGCCTGCTGCAGGTTGAGGTCAGCGGTAAGTGGTAGCGGGCCACTTCTGAGCTAATTGTGAATTCCTCTCGTGTATGCAGGCTTCAGCCCAGGGATGACAAGGAATCCTGAACTTCAAAAAAAAAGAGGAGGAATCACAATAAATATTTCATTGTCTAGTCAGCCCAATTTGTGAAGCCTGTTTATCTCACTTAGCCCCTGGAGATTGCTACAGGAAGCCGTCCCAGATGTTACCCCTTCCAGGCAAACTTGCTGCTGTGTGTCAGGGGGGCAGCCCAGGGTCTGCATTCTGGAAGCCCAGCTGTCAGAGAGGAGAGAGGGTCGCACCCACTGTGGGAGAGGACTGGATGTGCCTGGCCACCCCTACCAGGCCACTTGACCAGTTCCTGAACTGGGCTAATTGACCAATGACTGAGCAAGCCTTACTCTGCTCAGGTTTATACTGTGTCCCTGCCTCTGATGGTCACGTGACGTGTGGATGGAGAGTTCCTGAAGCAGCAGGGAGCGCAAGTCCCTCATTTCCCTGTGTCAACAGAAATCCTAAAAGGATGGTGCTGACTGAACAAATATTGGGCAAGAGCATGTTGAGGACTTTGGGGATCCTTTGTGTGGGCCCAGAGACTCCCGTTTCTCTTTCTGAGCTACACAGGCTCCATAGACTTGTATTATTTGTTCTCAGTGTAACTTTTTAATTTCATATTACCTATTATGATTCTTCAGACACTGATACTTGTTCATCTCCCTTTGGATCACACCAATATGTTTAAGTTTGTTCTTCTACCAGTCTTCACCCTCATCTGTTCCTTGGATGTGACCATATTGCCCTATCCAGATACTATGTTGCCAGAAAAGAGCTCGGAACTAATGTGAAATAAGATAGAGCCTAACACCCTTATGAGAGATTATCCTGCCACAAATCACCCTTGGGAGTTGGACTAGCCAAGCTAAGAGCTTGAAAGAACTGTTTCAGAAAAATTATTGTTTGGTGGTTTTTTAAACCGCAAAGCCAAGATTTTGAAGGTAAGTTTGATACTCCTATAGCTTAGCTGCATAAATACAGAGTATGGTGAGCTTATGACAAAAATGTCATGTCTGTAGTGCCTCAGTGGCCTCAGAGGCCATAACCAGCATCTGAAGGGCAGAAAATCTGAGTTCACGCAGGAGATTCGAATGGGTTAAACACAGTTCTTCAGAGGGCCTGGATGGTTCCTCGTTGCTTGGCAATTTCAAAAAACACAGGAATTTGGGGCTGTCCTGCATATGTCATTTTTCTAGCCCTCTTTTCATGGGATAAGGAATTTCTAGTACTGTAGGTAATGATAAAGCATTTATTACATACTAACCAAGGCTACCCAATATAATTTATGTCTACTAATCATCATTTTACTAAAAATAGAATTAAAACATGAGTGAATTATAAATAATTTTGTAAGATACTGGATTTCTGTATGTGTTTCTCACAAGGAATTTTATGTAGGCCCCATAACTTTGGATTATTAAAACCAGAATTTTATAATACTGGTACAAAGACCGATCTATTTTACCCATAAAATAATAGTTTTAGACAGATGCTTATTTATTACTTTGACATTCATGAGAGGGAAAGGCTTTTGATCCTAAAAAAACATTACCTCTCAACATAAAAAGGTAAAATAAGATCCAATTGCCAATTACCTAATTAGAAAATGTCCAAGCTGAAGTTTTGAATTTTTTTTCAGCTAGCTTTCATGGCCCTCCAATAGACAGCTTTATGTAAATTTTCCATTTTAGACATGTCATTTTCATTAACATCACTGTGATATATACTAATAACAGTGAAGTGTAATTATGGCCGTATTTAGAAAATAATTGTGGTAAGACAGCATTTTGTGATCAATCTTATGCTACTCCCTCTGTATTTTACACTCAACTGTGCCTACTCACAGCCTGTTCAAGAAACAGAGCTTGGGGATCACAAATATCAGAAAAGACAAGACATTCCTCATGCTTTATGTCCTTGCAATTTTGTTCCACATTGTTGTTATTTTTTTCATTCATGATCTAATTCTTCAGGCATTTCTCACTGAATGGAATTGATTATATCTATAAATAAAGCACCGATAAAACAGCCTTAAGTTTTAAAGTACAGTTTGACTTTAAAAATAAAACTTTTATCATACCAAATGTCTGTTAGGTCCAGTTATTATGTTTTGTTTCTTTGTTTGATTTTTTTTTCAGCAATAACCAGAGATATGCTTAAGCCCTGCATCTAAGTTGTATAGACTCAGAAAACACACAACATAAAGAGGTGGTATTGACATGCAGGGGAATGTTGAACTTTAGTTACTATTGTTTTAATTCATCTCACTAGTAAATCAACATACTGAGCAGTTTCACAAAAAAGGAAAAGATTTCAGAATGAATTTCTTGAAGGACATATAGGTTACTCAGGGACTTGAGATTAAAAATAAGGAAGAGTCCAAAGAAAACTCACAGAGAAGTTTTGTAAATAGAGGGTTTGGTGATCATAAAAGAACAGAATCATGTTCTCTTAAAGATCAGAATGAAGAGTGCTGGAAGAATTAAATGCATTTTAAAAATTAATATATCACAACATATAACATATTGACAAAAATCCTTATCCACAGTTCTACTGAAGACTGAGGGTATTGTCAGGGAGCTGAAAGATGGGAAGAAATATTTAAAGGGATCCAAAAAGCATGCAAAGAAGGGGAGAAATATACCACATTGAAAAATGAAAAACAAAAATTACATGATTTTTTTTCAACTGATGCAGAAAAAAAATTGAAAATATTCATCATTTTTTTATGATAAGAAAAAAAACTAGGAATAGAAGGAAACTACCTCAATATAAAAAGGTCATACATGAAAAACCCACAGCAAACATCATATGCAATGGCTAAAGACTCAAAGTGTTGTTTCCTCTAAGATCAGACACAAAAGGAGGATATTCAGTCTTACCACTTACATTGAAGAAAGTACTGAAAGTGGTAGCCAGATCAGTCAGTCAAGAAAAAGAAAGTAAGCATTTAATAAAAGAAAAGAAGTAAAGTTATCTCTGTTCACAGATGATGTGATCTTAAAAGTAGAAAACCCTCAGGACCACACACACACACACACACACACACACACACACACAACTAATAGAGCTAATAAATGAATTAAACAAAGTATCAGGATATAACATCAACATGCAAAAATCACTTGTGTTCCTATACACTAACAATGAACAACCCAAAAAGGCAATTGAGAAGACAATTCCATTTACAATAGTGTAAAAAAGAATAAAATGCTTAGGAATAAACCTAGCAAGAAGGTGAAAGACTTATGTGCTAAAAACTACAAAACATTGCTAAAATAAATTAAAGAAGACACAAATAAAGGGAAAGACACCCCACTGTTGAATTGAAAGACAATATTGATAAGAGTTCAATACTATCCAAAGCAATTTACAGTTTCAACCCAAATCCTACCGAATCCCAAAGGCATTTGTTGCGGAAATAGAAAAAAAAATCCTAAAATCTATATGGAATCTTAACAGATTCCAAACAGCCAAAACTATTTTGAAAAAGAACAAAGTTGGAGAACTGACATTTCCTGATTTCAAAATGTATTACAAAGCTACAGTAATCAAAACAGTGTCATACTGGCAGAAAGACAGTCATAAACCTATGAAATAGAATAGAGAGCCCAAAAGTAAACTCTCATGTATATAATCAAATCACCTTTAAAAAGGGTGCCAAGACCACTAAATGGAGAAAGCAGTTTCTTCAACAAATGGTAATGAGAAAACTAGATATTCATATGCAAAATAATGAAGTTGGACCTCTATTTTACAGCATATACAAAAATTAACTCAAGATGGATTAAAGCCAGTGTTTGTACAGTTTTAGGCAAAGAAGTCCAAGTCCAAGATGGCTGACAAGCAGAGTACCCCAAAACAGGAGCTGTTCCCACAAGGCCAAGGAGAGGGGCTGGAACCGCCTGAATGGTTTAAGACTTGGTTGGCCCAGTATGAGTCCTAAACGAGAAACAGAGAGCACATGAGAGGGGACACACATGTAGCTCAAACAGCAGCAGTGAGGCCTTCAAGTGAGAGAAGGGGGTGAAAGAAATGGCAAGAGAAACAATCATTCAGATCATTTGCTGTAGTGCCTCACGTCCTGTGGTTCACAGAAGCCCAGTGGGCAGCTTGGACCCAGCAGACCACGGTGGAAAGAAGCCTAACCCTTAAAGAGGGGTAAAGAGTTTGTAGTGCCCTTGACACCCCAAAAGTTAGACTTGAAAAGCTTTTTTCACCTCTGGTCTACTGATCACCAAAGGGACCCCATGGGATGTGGGAAGAAAAGATTAGAACTTCTATATATTTTTTAATCTCATTATTTTCATTTTCACCTTCATGTATATTTTATAATGCATATAATCTATTAGTAAAATAGTAGGAGCACACAATCAACCCATCAATCAATCAGTGAGAATATATTGGCAGTTTATGCTCAAAATATTTTAGTGATAAGGGTGAGCAAACAAAAAAGCTTAGCGATTACTGCTCTAAGGCAATCTATCATTTAATAAACTCCTGTACCTGTTAGGACCAACAGCACCATGCATTTGGGGATAGCCATGGCCTTTTGTACCAAACCAAGATGGAAGGAGATAAAGTGGAGAGTGGGGTGAGTAGGCAGGGGCAGAATTACCAGGTGGAACTAGTTCCAGGGGAGCAGAAGAGGTAGACATGTGTCCAGAGGAACAGGAAAAGGAAGGCAGGAATTTCCAAAGGGTTGAGTAATGATTGTGGCATCTGCTGCCAAGTGACAAATTTTATCAGACTTATCTGTGGTTTTCCTTGGCATTCACATCCCATGCTGTTCCAGTCAGAAGATAAAGGAGTCCTCCAGGTAGAAAGGTTTTATCCTCAGGGACACAGAGTTCATCCCTTTCTTGGTTTATTAATTCCCCTGAATCCGTCCTAAAAGGAACAGCAACTTCTCTTGGTGGCTGGGGTGTGGAAGGATCCTCAGCTGGACGTTAGGCTCTCCAGACACCTGACACTCGCAGGCACGCATGCACACAATACACAGACATACAAATACACATGCATGCACACACACGCACACAAATATGTGCACACACACACATATACACATAAACACAAACTTAAGTCCATGGTTCTAAAACATGGATTTATATGTTTCAAGTCTTAATTGCTATAACATTAAATGTAATGTCTCTAACTAGTAACAATAAATAATAAATAAGTAAATAATAAATGAGTAAACAAATTTTAAGTGCATAATAGCCATCATTTTCATAAGGTTGGCAACTAGATGCATTATTTTGCACCTTAATGGATTGAGGAAGACAAACATAATTACAAGCTTGATAAAGAACAAGGAGAGCACTTAGAATCTCTATCCATGCTGAAAATTCTACCTCATTTACAAGGCTTCTTTGAAACCCATGATATAGCTATATCACATCTTATTTTATCAAATCATGCCTGGCAGGAGAAGTGGAGAGGTGATGGTCAAAGTGTGCAAAGTTTCAGTTATGTAAGATAGTTCAGTTATGGAGGTCTACCGTACAGCATAATGCCTATAGCTAACAATTCTGCATTATGTACTTAAAATGTGCTGTAAGAGTAGATCCTGTGGTAAGTGTTCTGACCACAAAAAAAAAAATAATAATAATAATAATAAAGGGGATGGGAGAAAACTTTGGGAGGTGATAGGTATGCCTAGATAGGCCTTAATATTGGTAATGGTTTCATAGTATACACTTATCCCCAAACTAATGGAGTGGTACATATTATATATGTACAGATTTTACATGTCAATCATACCTCAATAAAGTGTTTTTTAAAAAAACCTACTGATGAGAATTGAGATCGTTTCCAGCTTTTTACTGCAGCAAGGGACATCTTTTTTTACTTTCTCTCTCTTGTTTATGTGCTAGCTTTCACTCATGGGGTACACAAGGACTACCTTTATGTTAATTTTCTATACATTAGAAGTCCAAGATGTCAGCTTGCTGGGTCAAAACGTATTTACATTGAAAAATATGATCTGTACCACCAGATTTCCCTCCAAATATATTGAATCTAACAATATATTAGAGAGCCCTTTTCTCCACATTGTTACCACCACTGGGGGTCCTCAATTTTTTTCTTCTTTGTCAATCAAACAAACAATAAAAATGACACCTTGTTTAAATTTACATTGCATCAATTATTTGCAAGTTGAACACGCACAGTATCATGCTTACTGACCATCTGCATTCATTGCATTATTGCTAGCTTGTATATTTCCCCCTTATTTATTTTGTACCATTCAGATTCTCATTCATTTGCCAGAGTTTTATTTTTATTATTTGAGACATTAGCCATTTGTCTATAACAAAAAAAAATAATACTTTTTCCTGGTTAATTATTTTCTATCTTTTAAGCTTTACTTATAGTACTTTTGCTGCACAAAAGTTTCACGTTGTAGTCAATTTTATCAAATTAATTAATTTGTTGCTTTATATAGTCTTTTGTCAAGCTTGAAAGAAACTACTACAAAATTGTTAAGATAGTCATCAATATTTTCTTCCGATATTTTTAGTTTCACTTTTACATATTTAAATATTTTATTCCTCTGGAATTTATTTCGAAGGAGTAGAGGGGAAATCCAGCTTAATGATTTCTACATGACCAGTCTCAATGAGAGCTGTCCATTGTTCTCTATTGAGTGATCCATCTCTTCCCAACTGGCATGAAATGCCCCTCTATTATATGTTTCTGTCCTTTCTCCACTTTCCAGTCTTTTCCGTGACCTGCCTATTTCTGCAACAGCACCACATCCTTTAGCTATTAGAGCTCTGTGACATATTTCCTCTTCTTTTTCCAAATATTTACTCTTCTTTTTCCAAATTTTCGTAGCCTTTCTATCATTTCTGTTCATCCAGCTGAGCTTTAAAATCATGTCATGATAAAAAATAAACTCTGGTGAAACTTTAGAATTTCCATACATAGGATTATAATACAATTCCCTAGAAATATCATGTAGAACAGGAATCAGCAAAAAGTTTTTTCTGTAAAGAGCCAAATAGTGAATACGTTCTTGGTCACAACTACTCAACTCCAGCACTGATGTGTGAAAGCATCCATGGAGAGGAGGTGAGTCAATGGTCGTAGCTGTGCCCACAAAACCTTTTATGAACACAGGCAGAGGTATGATGGAATATTACTCAGTCATGAAAAGGCATGAAGTACTGAAACATGCTACAACATGGATGAACCTTTAAAACATTATGTGAAGTGAAAGAGGACACAACAGGTCACATATTGTATGAGTCCATTTATATAAAATAGCCAGAATAGGTATCCATACAGACAAAAATCAGGTTCGTGGTGGCCTGGGGGGTGGGATTGCAGGGGAGAGGGACATGGGGAGGAAGTAATAGCGATGGTGTGTTTTTCTGGGTTAATGAAAAACTTTTGAAACGAGTGATGGGTAGTGGTTGCACATCATTGTGAATGGACAAAATGCCTCTGCATTGTACACTTTAAAATAGTTAATTTTATGTTACGTGAATTTTACCTCCACTAAGGAAAACACTATATACACTAAGAAAACCATTCTCCTAGGTCAGCATGTGGGTGTCTGCTCACTAGACATGTAGGCTAATGCTCCTGCTGCTTGGCGCTAAGGGGGGACTTGCTAGGGTTCACTGCTGAAAAGTCTCTGTGACGACTGGGAGCACTCCCCCACAGATGTCAGGTGATGAAAGGGTGGAAAGCAGCCTGTCCTCAGTAACAGCAAAGATGAGGGCATGGGCCCTTTGGTTCATCACTAAAACTTACACACAAGTAGAATCTGGGCTGCACATTGGGATCACCTGGAATCTTTAAAAAAAATCCTGATGCCAGGCTCCCACCCCCAGACATACTGACTTATTGGTATGAAGTGTGACCTAGGTGCCCGGCTTTTCAAAGGTGCCTGGGTAATTCTAATGTGCACTCATGTTGGGGAGTCACTGGCCCACAGACAAGGTGATAGGCTTCCCAACTTCTTCCTTGGGCTAGAGGAGTCCGTGGTGGTCACACCAGAGGTTCTTAACCTGACTGCACAGGAGAACCCTGGGGAGCATCACACATTACCAATAACCAGTGCTCACCCCAGATGTTATGATCTGGGTGGGGTATAGCCAAGACACAGGGACTTTTAAAAGCTTCCCAGGTGTTCCAAAGGGCAGCCAAGTGGGGAACCCTGCACTAAACGTCTCTGAAAATAAAAACCAACTGGAGCTCTTTTAAAAGACAGAGAGAAACAAAACAGGCAGGAGGAATGACCCCAGCTCCTACCCCAGACCTGCTGACTCGGGGAACAGGCCTAGAGACTAACAGGGGCCCAGATTTATTCTTATCAGTAAAGTTTGAGAAATTCGGCAATAAAAATAGATTACAGACAAAAAGCAAACATTTCCATGTGTGTGTCTGTGTGTGAGTGCGTGTGTGTGTATATATGTGTGTGTCTGTGTGTCTATGTGTGTCTGTGTATCTGTGTGTGTTTGTATGTCTATGTATGTGTCTGTGTGTGTGTGTGTCAAAGAGCTTGGGTGGGGACAGAGGGAGAAAGAGGGAACTTCCTCCTCTGTGTTCACACCTGAGAGGGCTCTGGGTGACAAGACAAGCATAAGGTGTGAACTCTGGCCTCCAGAGGGGGCCATCGCTGGTACAGCAAAGCACAAACTCAAACTCATGTTCACCGTACCTGTTGCATTTCCACAGGCCCTTCACAAACATGACCTCCTGCGAATAGTTAGGTTGGAAAAGCTTTTTCTGCCCTAGAACTCAGAGCATTTGATGGACTGTCATCCACTGCCTGAGTCAGTGGGTCAGCCAGGATTATAGTCAGAGAGTGTGCCTCTCAGGCCAGTGCTCCTTCCATAAAACAGTGATGTCAGGAGCCAGTCATACTGTATGGAACCCTTCACTGCTGCTGAATAATTTGCAGTGGTTGAAATGGACATCAATGGGGGGAAATATAGCATGTAAGAGTGTATGCTGAGAGCTGTGGTTTCTGGGTGATGAGTTGGGAGCTGGCACTTAGAGATCAGAGGCACCCGCTTCCCCCTCCAGCATCTCCGGAGTTTCTGACCTCTCCATCCCTTGCTCCCAGGCCAGTGCAGGCACCAGTTCTGTGGTATAGCCCTCCAATCCAGTGGGAAGTAAAATGGGAGATGATGAGGATGAGATCTGACCCAAGGATCAGTAGTCACTGCTTATCCTTCTCTCTGAACCGCCCCCCCTCCCCAGTCTTCATGTACTCAAACATAGTGGGACTGTACTCTGAGACAGGTTAAACTAGGGGTCCAGCATGGAGCAAAACAGACCCACCCCTCGGCCTCACTTAGCTCCTGACTGAGACCTTGTTACTCAAAGTTGTGCTGTGTCACCTGACAGCTGTCAGAAAAGCAGAAGCTCAGCCGCCAGCCCAGACCCACTGAATGAGAATCTTCATTTTCTCGGGATCCCTTAATCTTCCTTTTCATGTGATTCCAGGCAATTTGAATGCACATTAAAGTTTGGGAAGCACTGGTTTAGATGCTCATTTCTATGAGTGAGTAAGACCATGGACGCCAAAGAAATATAATGTGGGTTCCCTTCCCTTGACTTCCCTGAGAGTTGGTGTTGGAGAAAATAACTGTTCACCTGTTAGATCTTGAAGGGATCTTAGAGTTCACCTAATTCAATAGTCTCATTTTGCAGATGATGAAAATAAAACCCAGAGAGGTAACATGATTTCTAAGGGAAAAAGCCAGGATCAGAACCAAGGATTTTACTCTCAAGATCAATGTGCCCATTGCAGGGCCAAGGAAAGCCAGCTAATCATGTCCACAAAAGAAAAGGTGACAGCAATGAAACAGGGAGAATGGGGAGCCACAGCACTGCAGATTTTAAGCAGTTCCTCAAAAATGTTGGAGGGCGGACCATTTCCGCAGATCATTTTCAAGTCTGCTCTTTTAGACTCTCAATGTTGATCCCAATGGAGAAATACTGATCAGCTTTCGCTTCCCAGGATGAATGTGCTTTTTAAGGCTGCTATTCCATTCCATGAGACCTACCAAGGAGAAACAGGAAGATGGTTATGGGGTGTCATTCCACCTGCACCCCTCCAGCTGGGCTCCATCAGTAACTCCCAAGTCCAAGATGCCCCCAAGGCCTTCATAAGGTTTACCACACAGTCCTCGAAACCCTTGGCCAGGTCATTGAAAATGAAGCAGGACACTTTTTGTTAGGATATGTATAAATTACAGCACACTGTGTGGGGACAGGCTACCCAAACAAGCATCCCCGTCAAAAGCTCCCCTTTAAGTCCAAGCTTGTGAACAAAGGTTGTCAAGAAAACTGACAGCTCCCTCACTCCTCCTCTCTACTCATTTTAAGTGTCCTACCCTGGACTGCTCTAAAACTCAGACTTAAATCAACTTGAAAGCTTCCCCAGAAGAACCAGCCCATTTTGTCTAAGACCAGATAGATTAAAAATGAACATGCATTGCCACTACCTCTCATATCATCACAGCACTGTTTTCTCAGCCAAGGAAGCAGGAGCCTGGCAGATCTGGGCCAGGGGTATGTGGTGAGCCTGTTGGTTCCTTTTCTTCCTACCTTAATAATAAGTAATCAATTTGACAGAGTTGATAGGAAGAGGGGAAAGTAAAAAGTTAGCATGACACATTTATGAGAAGGATGTTTCCTGGGCTTCTTAAGTATAGTGCCTTGAGTTTTTCAATCATGTTAAAAGGAGAAGGGAACACCTGTTTCATGTTACCTGACCACAGCTTGGATGTATGAGTACATGGATCACACTCTATCAGGAACAAAAAAAAAATCATTGGAAAGAATGGCTTGACAAGTTAACCGAAATTTTATATTGCTTCTAATTAAGAAATAGGAAGACAGACACCAAATCGCCAGAGGATAGAAACACTTCATCACTTCATTTCTGGTTGAGCTCTTGTTCTCTTTTTTAATTTTTTTCAATTATAGTTGACATAAAATATTATATCAGTTTCAGGTGTACAACACAGTGGTTAGACATTTATGTATCTAGTTGAGTTCTCATAAAAAGTTCCTGAATGTGGTTTCTGACATTGGAACAGAATATTTTTTTAACGATGAATTTTTTTTAACCCTTTCCCTAAAAGCTAGGATTTGGGAATCACGACTTACTCCATGCTTCCCTAGCATGATGACTTAAGCAGGAGCAGTATTTGTCATCTTCATGAGTGGGTGTTACCACTGAAGTGAACGGAGTTAAAGATTTGTTACTTGATCTAATGGCAATGACTTTCCAATAGACATGCACAGGATCATTGATCAGTGTGCTCTCTTCTTGTTTGCACTGCAACACTGTTCAATTTATACCAATTAAAGAATGCTTGGTTTGGATATTGAAGAATAATTAAGGGATGCAAATCCCCAAGGGCTTCTAGAAATGACATCTGACTAGAATGGTGATTAAGGCATGAAGACAGCATTAGTATTTGAATACTTTGACTGATATACAAAATCATTACAACGTCTCTCCAGGAAGACTGACATTTGGGTCAATGTATGTACTTGCCTGGTCACCCTAAACAAATTTGACAGGTGTAATTTTAAGTAATTGCTCAGAGTTTAGTGGCCGCCTCTGTCCCCACAAGGACAGCTGTCTGGACCACATCTTGTAATTGAGATGTGTCTTTAAACCATATGTGTCAACCCAACATGCAAATGTGCTCTCAAAAAAGGTGAAGGGTTAGGACACTCTGGTGAATCATTTTCCAGTCAAATTTCAACATGAAAACTTCACTAGAGCTATTACTCAACTCATCAGCTAATTCCGCCTCATCCCCGCCAGCTGACTTTGCTAGCTGCACCCAACTCTAAAGCTCATCTAAAGACCATCTCAGAGTGGGTCCCTGGACCAGCAGCAGCAGCATCCCCTGGGAACCCCTTAGAGATGCAGCCTTAGACCCAACCCCCAAACCCACTGAGTCAGAGACGCTGGGGACTCAGAGAATCAGAGGATGTAGAACTAACACTTTAATGAGTACTCTCAGGGACCTAAAGCCCACTCAAGTTTGAGAACCACCGATCTAGACCCACGGATTCACTTTATCAATAATGAAATTAATGAAGGCCCAGAAGGTTATGTAATTTGCCTTAAGTCCCACGGCTCAAGTGACAGTGGAGGCTGGAGCTAATCATGATGTGTTCCAGACATTTAATTCCTGACTTTCACGATTCAGTTAAATTTTAAAAATGTTTTGCTGCTGTGTTTGTTGTGTGTCGTGCAGCCTCGGCTTCTCCCTTAGCACACATTCAGGTTATGTCCTGGCAGGCGGCTAGGTCTCCTCTTCCTCCTGGCCATCAGCATCAGGTGCAGCCAATAGACTAACTAGGTTTTAGGAGAGTAATCGCCCGAGCCAGAGATGTTGTTGCCAGCGTGACAGCCTTGAGAGGTGCCTTCTCCTGCCCATGGAGACGGTGGATGCACATGGAGAGAACAACCCTCCACTGCCAGGGTTCCTGACCGACTGTGCCGAACACAGCCCTGCCGTCCCCACTGAAAGTGCAGGGAGAACAACAGCCCATTATGCTAAGCTGCTGATATTTGGGGTATGTTTTTACTACTTTAGAACCCAGCATGTCACAGGACACTTCGGGACTTCCGGACAGTCCTCCGACATTATTAAAAGTGAGTTAATGCGTGGGACAGAGTGGAAACGAAAAAGGAGGATCTTCCCTATTTAAAATATAACTGAATATAACAAAATTTCCAAGAGGACGTAAGTATGGAAACCAAATTTGAGTTACTAACCAAACAACAGATTCCGGATTTAGTTTTCTTTTTTGATGACTCATTCTATTCTTTCGTCCTTTAATCCCAGTCTGACAACCCTTGGGCCACACGGAGCCTAGATACCCAACTAAAGTGAGTGAGTCCAACCAAAACTGAAAACTAAGGGCGGCCTCATTTGCAGGCGACACAAGCTGGCGATCCCAGCGCCTCACCAAACAGCTCAAACAGAGAGCTAAAATAAAGTGTATGGGAAAGGTTTCTTTCCAACTCGCCCAGGCTCCCAGCAGACCGCTAAAGCCTATTCACATCGCTTGCTCCCCTCGCTCCCCATTCCCTGCTCTTTTCTTCTTCCTAAGCCCCCCACCACCCAGGTGAGGCTGTGCACCCAGCTACCCCACCCCCAGCACCACCCCCAGGTCCCCTCCCCTTGTCTTTCTCTCTTGGTCCCTCTCTCAGCAGCAATGCCGAGCCTTTCAGCCATCTCATCCCCGGACTCCCTGTGCAGGGCAGGGGGCAAAATGTGCCTCTGAATAAGAAGGAATAGACAGGGTGGATTAATGGCAGCGGCAGAAGAGTGATACAGCCGCAGCAGAACAAAACAAGGGCGACCCGGACCAAACAAAGCACCACAATAGATCATTTCTGAAAAGTCATCCGGGCAGCTTTGAAACCCAGGGCTGCATGTTCCGGGGCAGTTTCACATCCATGGGCTTTCAAGAGACATGAATGGAAATGGAACAGTAACTCTTTCTCATACCTCTTTTCAGGGGTCTTCTCGGCAAGAGAAGGATTTACCATTCATTCCTATACTTTTATGTGGGAAATTAGGAATTGCCCCTTCAAAAGAAATTGCTTTTTAAACTCTCCTAAAGTGTGGCTATTTTATAGACTTACCAAAATTTCTTCCTCCTTCTTCTTATATTTCATTTTCTCAAGTACTCGTAAACACACACGTGCACACACACAAACGTTTCCATCTTCATTTTTCTCAGGAACGTTTCATTCAGAAAAATCTCCAACCAAAGAGATACTTTATCTTTGAGCTTGGTACAGGGTTTAGTTTTTGTTCTTAACTATTGTTTCATTTGACCAGCTTCATCATACTTATTTTCTGAATAAAAAGGCCTACCCTAGATAATATTAATCACCATGTATTTGGGAAAATAGCTAGTGTTGGGCCAAACTGGTAAAAGGTGGGAAGCAAAATTAAAAAGGACATTCATTCATTGACTCAACAGGTGCTTACCTAGCAGCCACTCGTGTGACTAGTCCTGAATAATGCTATTTTGAATTGTCAACTAAAAACAATTAAGTTTTCCAAAAAGGGGGGGAGCTCAATAAAATGTCCCCAACTGGAACGGCCTGGCCAGTATTTTAGCGATGGACAGCACAGATCTGGCTCCACCCTTCTCAGAAGCTTGCAGTGTTTGGCCATATTAATCTCATTAACCTTCCCTATGAGTTTCAAGAGGACAGAAATGGAGACCTGAGAATGTGGAGTTCCTGGCTGGGAGAAGTCAAGCTTTGACTGTAGCACAGTACCTTTGATCTGACTCCCCAGGCCACTTCCAGAGGCTCTTTTTGGAACGGAGAAAGAAAGACACACAAGGAAACTTTGCCATAGGAAATCCAGCCATGTCTGACCCCACACTTCGCTCTTCCCTCCTCCTGCCCCCAGGAGAGCCCACTCCCTGGCAGATTCCAGGCAGCAGCTGTGATGACGGCCAGCCATTCTCCAAGGGCAGTCAAGCATACCCCGATTCCCAGAGAACACTTTGGGGTGAGAAATGGACAGGAGCGGCTGGGGGAAGGGAAGAGAAAAGAAGCTTTTCTTCCTCAGCTGGTCTGTAAGGCGAGACTGGGACACACTAACCATTTCCTGATGCGCAAACCAGAAACTTGGACTTCTTGGTAGATTTCTTAGATATGCAAAAAACTAACCCAACAAAAGGGAATCTCTTGCAATATACTCAATTTGGACTATTTCAAACCCTAGTGTCACTTCTCTGTAAAAAGAAAAAAAAAAGAAAAAATGAGAGAGAAACAATTTTCTATTTCTGAGGACAGTGTTAAAAACCTCAGAAATCTACAATATACATGTATCACATCCACACTTTATAGACCTGAACTTTCACAGTGTTATATGTCAATTATATCTCAGTAAAGCTGTGAGAAAATAAAGCCTTAGAAAGAAAACCTAAGAATAACCGTATTGATATCTCCAAGTCTGAAAACTGTACCATTTCCTTCCTGAAATAACTTACTTGTTAATA